CAGACACAGAGGTCGTGGCAGTCGATCGCCCCCCGGCTCAGACCCAAGACGATCTGGAATATATTGACCAGAGCGCAAACCCGGAAGAGGCAGCAGAGCCTCAACCGGACCACAACGCGGACTATGACCAGGCGAACCAACCTCCCCTACCTGCAGCAGCTAATCTACCGCCGCACCATCTAGCTGAGCAACCTGTACGCCACTGCCTACCTGCCCAGGGCCACCACCACCCGACACAAGGGGGTGCCCCCTCACCTTTGGATCCCAACGATTACGAAGTGGAGGAAGACGACGAATGGAGTGAGGACACGGAAGAAGATTGGCGCATGGTGGACCTCAACGAGGACGACAACGCCGAAGCTGCAGACCCTTCCCAACAAAATTGCCCTCGCAAACGGCCTGCTGGGCATGGCTCGCAACGCGTCAAGAATAAAGCCAGGAAATCAGACGTTAAAAAGTTGTGGCAGCAGAAGAACTGGGGGGATAAACCCCCGTGGTTATCCTGGCGTGCTGCCCTCCCATGGATTCAGAGGGGAGAACAGCCCCCTTGGAAGAGACCGCTGGCCTCGCCACAAGACAGAGAACGGCTGGCAGCCCTTTTGGCGGCCCACCAGTACACGAGAGACAGTGCAGGCAATATCATTCCCCATTCACAAGCTTCAGCTGGCTCTACAACCACGGATGGGAAGGGAGGGACAGCCCCTATGCAATCTGGCGCGACTCATCCACCTGCTCTACCACCACAACATGCCAGTGGGGACAAAGCAAGTTCACAAGCTCAACGAGACCACCAAGACCGCACGATGCCGACACGGAGTTCGAGAGATGCCGCTTCCTCCTCCTCCTCCTCTACATCCAAAGCCTCCCCCCCACAACGCCAACCACCACAACGTCAACCTCCGCAACAACAACCGCCACCTGCAATTGACCCTCAACCTGCGCAGCCCCAGCCACAGCCCAAGCCACCGCCGTCACAGCAACCGGGCACGGCTAGAAAAGCACAGCCGAAACAGCCACCGGCCAGACCCGCCGCAGCGGTGGCAGACACCACCGACCATGCTCACAAGCTACCACGGGACGACCCAGAACCTCCCCAACATGCTCGGCACCAACAAGACGAAAGCAGCAAGGAGGCCACACGGGCACGACAAGATCACCAGCACCGCCTCAACAACAACCCGTACCTCTCGTCGACTACGCCTTCCGAGGGCCGGGCTGCCTCCATGAACGTGCAGGCCTCTGGCAGGACCCATAGCAGACCTCTACAACCTGACGATCCACTACAAGGCCAACGAAGCGACCGGCCCCAGCAACCACGTCAACCTGCAGACGAACATCGACAACAACCACAACCTGAAGCGAGGAGAATTTCTTTCCAACTCCCAGAGGATCACAGAGAAGAGCCTCCGCGGCCGACAAGGCAGCAACATGCCTTGAGGAAACTCTCTGACAGCACCTACGTCCAGCGCAGAGGCGACGGTGTCCACAACTACCCCGTCACTATCATTGACAACAGACCTGACTACATGCGGACTCCGACCTCACCCCAGGACAATAGCCCGGGGGAGACCCCGCAGAGAGATCGACCGGGAGACACTCTTTTTGTACAACCGGCACACCTGACATCCTCCTCTTCTACGTCTTCAAGCTCGTCAACGGCGCCTACGCAGGGGGCAGGACCCCACAATCCTGCACAGAGCCATATCGACATGTCCGACCTACAGCTGGAAGCGGATCGAGCCATACAACAGGGAAGAGCACCCCCTTGGACAATTGAGGAAGGTGGTCATCCCATGAGATCATCTATCCGAGTGGGAGACACGAGCTTCGACATTGCATGGACCTCGGGGGCTGGCCCCCCCACAGTCCCTCCTTCGATCCCGCTCGCCGCAAACACGGTGGTCACCATGGTGGGGAACGCGCTGGGCGCCTGGAGGGGATATGTGTGGTCTCCTCAAAGCGGAACCCCCATCCGGCACCCGTCCCAGACCACTCATTACCCAACTATCGTGGCTTTCAAAACACTGAGTACCTCGGGGAGCTCCTCGTCATCTATCCCAGCAGGTGTCCATTTGACTCTCAGACCAGTGGGGGCCTGGATTGGAACTACGCGTTTTGAGCTGTCATACGCCCGCACTCCGAGATACTGGCTAGTCCAAGTCGAAGCGGCGCCCAATGCTGGTCAAGCGGAAATACCCCTCAACGCTGGAGAAACTTTCTTCCTGGAATGGAGGGGAGAGCAAGCCGAGTGGACAAGAAGGCCGAGGTTCGAAAACGACGTGGCCAGGCTGGGGGGCTTCTCAACGGTCCCCCCCTCACGAGCCGCCCACGCCTCCAGTGCCGCCAGAGAGACCAGGAGGGCACCCGCCGCAAAGACCGAAGGCGCGCCAGCCTAGGGGGGGACCCCTGGAAGCCGGTGGGGCCACAACGGCCCAAACTGGGCGGGAACCACTACGACAAAGTTCTCCTGCGCTACAACAACGCCATGCACATCAAGCACAACCACGAAGTGACCCACCTCAACGACCTAACGATCTGCCCCCTCAATCTCCACAACAACCGAGTGCTACGCCGGGACTGCCACGTCAACATCTACAACAACACGGACGAGGACGGCCGACAGGGGCTACAGCCAAGGCTCAACCCAAGGCCCAACCCAAGGCCAAGCCGCCGAACCCCCCATCCTCGAGTTCGGGCTCCGACACAGAAACGAGCTGGCCGAGCGAAGATCCTCCGAGCCCCTCCCCAACCCGCGACATGGACATCGAGGAGCAAGCCATGATCCAGATGGACAACAAGCGAAGAGGCAACGATGCAAGGGTGAAGCAGTGGCACCTCGGTGGCGATGATGCCGTCTCATTTATGCAAAGAGGCATGGGCAGAGACCAACCACCTCAACCCCCTCTTCCACCTGACCCCTCAACGACGCAATTGCAGACGGACTGGATGGCTACAGACATTAATTTCCCAAACGGCCCCACCTTCGAGGGAGTGCTGGAACTGCTGGAGAAGATCCTGAACACCCTCCTGGAACAAGCTTTCCAACAGCCCAGCGAGTACGTCACCCAGCTTGCCTACTACGCCTGTTTTTATGTCCGCAAACTTCATGAGCTCGAACAACAAAGGGGAACAACGCCCCTTCATCCGGCACAGTCGGACCCTACGGATGTCGTCCTCAACATCAACATCCACAACCCCCTCATCGAAGCCGAAGCCACCCTCGCGCACCTGGCGGGCAACCACGAAAACCTCCCCCGCCGTCATGTACAAAGAGAGCTCGTCCGTGCTGAAGTCCTACTCAAAGAAGGGCGAGCTCTGCTGAAGAAGTGGGCAAATGACCCGGAGGCACCGGGAGCCCTGCCCGGAACTGCAGCCACCCGCAACACCTTGGATGGAATCGACTGGGCCCTGCTCGCGGCAGAAGAAGGAGGAGTAGCCAACATGGACGAAGCCCTCCGTATGGCGGCCGCAGCAGCTCAACGAAGCAATAAATTCATGGAAGAGCTCATCGCCTGGCTCAGAGACAAACTTGCAGAGGAAGCCAAGGAGGGGAGCCCTTCCCCTAAGAAGCGGCGGGTGGAGAGAGCCACCGGCAGCATGCAACCGCCGCAGTTTTTGCCAATGGTTGATGATGGTGCTGGACAAGGACCTCTTTGCGCAGGACCCGATCCGGATCTGCGACTACAAAACGACCGACCTCCTCTTCAACGCCGTCCACAAGGAGCCCAAGAACAAGTCGGAATGGACACAGGCCTACCGAACGCGCTGCAGAGACTGAAAGGGGAGTTCCCCTTACCTATGGACCGGGGCAGTGGAGGCGACGCCACCCCGTACCATGTGCTAAGGGCACAACAAATCCTGGAGGGAGCACTGCCTTTCTTGGAGCAGGAGGTTGCAGCGACACTGGCAGAAGCGCACTCCCTGCTCTTCGGATGGACTACCGCCCTGTGGGGCACGCCCGTGGTCATGGTGGAGCCCACACAACAAGAAGCAGTGCCGCATACGGGGGAAAGCCCCGACTCTGCTGCCGAAACGGTGCCTTGGCACCCTCAGGACCCGCTCTGGCATCCGTGTGACCCACAACAGCATGGAATGCACCCGGCAGCAGGGGAGGGGACCCTGCAGAGCGACACCCAGAGCCAAAGTTCGCACAGACGACGCAGAATGCACTCGCTCTTCCACGACTGAGCCAACCCGGAGTGAAAGAGCAACCATGCTGACAGTGAGTGAGCTCTTCTGTACAGGGGGGCCCCCTCTTGTCTTTCAAGTTCAGGTTGCTTTGTCTTCGGAAGGTTCGGAGGGCTGAAAGGGGTTGCTGAGACTCGGGGTTTCAGGCCCAGGCACTCTTTGGTCCTCGAAGGGCTCGAGTTGAAATCCGGATTCCCATAGGGGGATTTCCCTCATCGGCCCCCCTGCGATGTAGGGTGAGTTTGTGGCCTGCGAAAGGCATCACATCTTTTTGAATTTACCACTTTGCCGCAGTGAGGGAGTTATAAGGCCCTGTAGCCCTTTTCGGAACACCACCATGGATCGCATCAACAATGTTGCTACTATGACAAGGGCAACTGACAGTGGGGGAAAATACCCCGCACAGCCGATAGCAGTGATGATTTGTGATGTTTTAGGTGCTTCCTTAATCACCGTGTGCAATGGCAGTGAAATCGGCAGCTGATGCGAATCCAAGAGGCACCACAACCAAGCTGTTTTCTAACACTGCTTTCCCTTTCTGCCTTCATGTTGTACTTGGCTTTGACTTGATACCCGATGCCTCGGTGGAGTAGTTGCGTCTTTCCACCCCCTCCAAAACGGTTGGGGGCGCGACAGCGCGCGGGCTAGGGGAGCTCCCCTAGTCCACAGCCCTAACGAAAGAAAGAGAGAGAGAGAGAGAGAGAGGGCGTAGCCCTGGCGAAAGAAAAGAGAGAGAGAAAGAAAGGAGCCGTTCTCTACGTGCATACTGCTTGTGAGCGGTTGTCGGCCATGGTCTGATTGGAACCACCGAGGTTGCCACACAGCGGTCCAGACTCGAGCATGAGAGGGGGTGAGTCTTCAGCACATTTAAGGCGGGTTTCGGCTCGTGTGATAGGCTCGGCAATAACATGGCTCTAATTTCCCGTCCTGCCCAGATCGAAGTCGTCAGCCCTCACTCTGCTGACATCCTTCAAGAGGTATGCGACCTTGGGTGTTCGCACCTGCCTGGGTTACAATGGAGAAACAGCCCAAGGACGGTTATCGCTGAAGATGAGTGCCAAGAAGGCCCTGGTGCCGAGTCCTCGGAAATGCTCTCTTAAAGAGAGTGGTCACGGAAAGGCAGCTGATGGCGCCAGAGCTGTTAGAATAACAGGCACAGATGACACGTGCCCCCCTCTGCCTCCGTACATGTGGTAGCTTGAGTTCCCGCCTTTTTTTGGGGGTTTGGGCTGCAGTTGAGGCTTCAGGGGGCTGGGCGGGGGAGGAGGGCCCGGAACGCACAGCGCACAATCAAATGGGTGGCTTTTGTCGCAACCTGCCCAGGTCACGACGCTGGAGCGCTGGCTTTCGCCCTGGTGTTGCCAAAGCATTGAGGTGCTCACCGAGACTCAACCAACCCGTCCACGTGTTTGCTTTGTCTTATTCTCATCCTGTTTGCACTTCTTCGCAGGTCGATCAGGCACCATCCACCATCGTAGCTTAAGTGCGATTGCGAGGGAATTGCCCTTGCCATCATCGCCGTCGTTCGCGACCGAGTGTGGCTAATTCGATTCGGCCGAGACATGTTTGTACAGAGTGACAGGCCCGCGACGGCCAGACATACTGGCACATGATGTTACAACCCGTCTCACCGGCAGCCTGCCAAAGTGGCAGGTGCCATTCACTAACTCACGCGGATTGTCAAACAAGATTGATGAGGGAAGCTCAAGCTGAGCCGCAAGGAGAACAGATGCACACGGGACTTGCACAAATGATGTGTTGCTAGGGTTGACAGGGGAAGCGGCCACGTTTCGCTGAAGCTATCAGCATGTGGAGCACGTGTCTAGGCTTGGGCATGTCAGGTAACTCAGGTACATGCGAGCATGAGGCCGATGCTTCATTCCGAGAGAAGAGGGCAGCAAGGCTATCAAAGCTGCGAGCCGGCTTTCCATGACACAGTTGTCTTCCACGAGCAACAATTTGCGAGAGCAATGTACTTGTGACTCAGCGCATGGGTGGTGACCTACTGCATCTGCACAGCAGTAGCCTGTAAGAGTCCGAGCACACAGTAAAATGGAACAGGGCCAGGACGCCACGCAAGTGGCACAGCCCCCAGTCGTTGTCAGAACCTCTTGGCAGAGACACGGGGAGTAGGGAGCCGCTGGGCTTTTCGGGACCAAGCTTTCAGGATGCCAGGCCGAAGTGATACGGTTGTTCAAGTTCCAAGTCTAGGCATCTTATTGAACTGAGCAAGGCCAAAGTGAGCTTTGACCAAGATGCATGGGCACCTAGTGACCTACTTATCGAAGGGGTGTGGCTCTCAGTCGTGAGTGCCTCTATGTGCCTCTCTACCTGCTGTCCTGACGGTGGTTGCACCAAGGTTCAGCTGTTGACTGGTCTCTATGTGCCGTTGAAACGCCCGCAGCACAAGAAGTCGCCATGCAGATGGCAATGACGAGTGCACTTCGCATAGCACATCTCAGACTCTGAAGGGGCCCACTAGACTACATCACTACTTGAGGCCCGCATCATGGCGCTGACCTCAGAGATGACTCCACGTGATGAGGCCAGACTATCTGCTAGAAACCTGCGCTCGTGTGTGAGGCCAGCAGGTCTTCCGAAAAGCAGGCGGAGTCAGAGCGCAGGTCGGCTGCCTGGACTCTTCCGCAGGTCGGTGAGCTGCGATCAGCTTTGAGGCCATGGTGTACCTCTTCTACTGGAAGGAGCGAACCTGCAGTCCGCTAGGGCCCCACGCATCGACAATGCAAGACGATGTTTGCTTCACTGACACCCCTTGAGCACCCCTTGAGTCGTTGAGGTCGGGATGGTGGTTCTGTGATAGCATTGGTTTGTGCCTCAGTGTTATTCACAAGTTGCGAGAGTGCTGTACGTTTTGCTGGCGAGTACAGCCGTGTCATCTCTCGCACGTGCTGCACGACGTGGTGAATGGTCGGATGCGGTCGGACAGGCTCAAGGTGGAACGAATGTCAGTTCTGACACAGTCAAGGTCCACATGAAGCGAGTCTTCGCAATTGACAGGTAGGCAAAGTATTAAAATGCGAATTACATGCCAACACTGGTACTTGTAGCTCCAGATTCGAGTGCTGCTTCCCAAGCCATCGGCGCAATTCGCGGAATGTGGACCAGAACTCCCCTCGTGGCGCTTCTGTGGGTGTTTCTCACAGGTCCATGGGTTGAGGCATGTTGAGGCATGTGAGGTGGTAAGTTTATGCCCACCAAACCTGGACAAAGTGTGCCCTTGCTTCAGGTGCAGACGGGAAGGAGGAAGTGGCAGGCTTGCAAGAATGCATCATGCAGTGGAGCTGCCACTAAGGCAAACTTCGACTTGGAATTCTGCATGGCTTTATACGTTTCCTGACTTGTTTTTTTGGAGGCGTTTTACCCTTAGAGCGGCCAAAAGGAGTGGCAGAGGAGAGGTGCTGCCCGCAGTGATTTGAGATACGTGCTCCTGTTTTCTCCGGCAGGAAACTCCTGCAGAGCAGCGGCGAGCTCAGGCTATTTTAATGGATAGGCTGCAACAGGCGAGAGGTCTGGGATGGGAATGGAATGGAGAGATGCTTTGTTCAGGCTGGCACATCTTCGTAAGGAGCTGGCGGCGGCGGAAGCTCAGGCTGCCGAGGCCGAGGCCAAGAAAGCGGCTGCACAGCACAGAGAAGTGCAGGCCGGCAAAGGGTGAAGAGGTCGTCGTCCCATCGTCGTCCACCGTCGTCTCACGAGGCCGAGCATTCCCTTGATGAGACACTTCACAACGAGGCGACACTGGGCAACATTCGGCAACCGCTACCTGCCGCTAGAAGGGCTCACAGTCTTGACCATGCGGGTTGTGCATCTGGCTGCTTCAGGCAAACTCGGATTATGGTACTTTCTTACCTAGTTGGGACGCGAACCGGCCACCGATAGCTTCAGAAACTATGGGGTAGCCAACTTGCAGCACCCCGCCATGTGACCCTAGGAACCTGCTTCTGAAAAACCTGTCCAAGCTAAGAGCCTGATGGCTCAGATTCTTACATAATTTGGAGATCTTTTCAGGTTTTCATTTGATGCGTGGGCTTATACGAGCTAAGAATGTCAGGGCAATCGAACTGGCATAGAACATGCCAATGTGTGATGTGTGCAGCACTGGCAACGATGAGAGAATGATAAATCGGGTGGAAACTACCTCTTGTTCTTTCTGGAAGAGCGGTTGAAGAGCTGGTTGAATAGTCTGCGAGCACCCGCACCAGGCAGAACCCAGAGAAAGCGGGCGAAGGGATACCCTCGTCGATCGCTTCGAGAGAAAAAAGGCGAATCGGAGCCGAAAGATCCCTCGAAGAGAGAGAAATGGCTCGAGGAAGGAGGAGAAGAAGGACAAGGCGTCATCGTCCGGAGACGTCAAGCTAGCCCAGGACGACGACGAGTCCCGCGTGGAGGATGTCGACTTGTTTGACGCCGTTCGATGAGGAGAAGATCACACACCTGTTTCTGCACAGGCTCGTGGCTGCCTCCGAGCCGACCGAAATTAGCAAGCCGGAAAATCCGTTGAAACAGTAGATTGCCCGAGTCGCACTTCTTATGGATTAAATTCTTGGAGCGCTTTGGGGCGATTGCAAGCTCAGTCCCGTGCATGCAGACAATCGCAGAGCGCGAATGTCCTGCCCTCGTAAATCTGCGAAACGTCGAAAGCAAAGTTCAACAGCGGACAATGAATGCTCAAAAAATCACATCACGCGACACCCTGCTCATTTATTTACGATCGGCACTAGAGACGTGCCTCGAGCCGACAGGCCGTCAGCGGCTGAGCCCCTTCGCAGAGTCAGCTTCCAAGCGCGCCAGGTGGACTACGATTGGAAAGGGCTCACGTGCCACCCGAAAGCAACCTTCGCAAGGAAAGTTCCGACCCGCAGCGGATCCATGTTTGGGTGCAGGATCCGTGGGACCCGAATGGCTCTGTCCGGTGACATTGCGGCAACTTGCGGAGTGGGTTTACTTGTGCCACTTCAGGTGAAAGGCTTGTCGCAGTGTGTATCTTTGGAGTGGGAAAGGTACAGCGTCACAAACAGGTGATGTGGCTTTCTACGCACGCCCGAACATAGAAACGGGCAATGTGGTTGTTTATTCACACCTGGCGAAACATTGAACGAGCGACTTTAGAAACGGTCCTCGACGAAAATGACGAAAAAGGAAATATTCCATCGTGACACGAAGACTTTCAACGGGAGCTTGATGAACGAGGATGGGTTACAATCCTAGAGGAACACCGATAGCGGATAAGGCGCCTTCGCAATATGATGTCGCCCAATCCTAAGTCCAAAGGGAGCCGGAGGGTCTTTTGGCCTAGGCAGATCCTGGCAGATCCAAGACGGCGGCCTACAACAAGCTCCGATCTGCTTTGAGTTCATCCTCAGAGCTCGTTTCATCGAATCCAAGCCGAGAGGTTACTGGCCGTGGTTGGATTGAGCGCAGGTCGCATCTGCAACAACTCGCTGGACCCATCAGACAAGTCAGACAAGCATGGACCCTAGCCACTACTGTATAGTCACGATCAGCTAAGGGGACCAGCCCTAAGCCACGAAAGCGACGGATGCTGGATAGGGGAGGTGCTCAATGCGCAGGGACCTCTTAACTCCTGATGATCTGCTTCAGAATGATTTCCGCTTTTACATTGTGTTCCGGGAGCCTGAACTTCCGCCTCACTTCGAGCTGACTCCCGGTTGTCTTCGTGGAGGAGGGGCCGGTGCTGTTGGCCGTCCTACCGATTCAGTGGGCGATGCGGTTTCAGAGTTTTCAGAATCAAGGTACTCTGGCGTATTATCTGCAAGAGGTTTCTGCTGAATTTGCCCTTCCGAAATTGACTCCTGCTTCGGCCCGGGATAAGTTCACCTCCTGCGTTATCACAGATTGTGATGACGGCTCATGACAAAACTTTCTTGAGCCTTTCTCGGAGCGAAGGCACAAGGCGTAGTGAAATGCCTGGCTACGGCCAACTTTATGTCATCGTTGAAATACATGTGCACCTCATCAGTTTTGCAGTGTGCACTCTTCAAACCGGAGTCGAGGAAGCTGATCGATTCAGAGCTGCAGTTGCAGACTCTTGTTTGGCAAGTTTGACCGCAGAAAAACTTTGACGAGGCAAGTGTGGGTTTGCGGATTGCCGCAGATTGAGCATGATTGAGCGACACACTTAAAGCATGAGCAAAACGACAGAGCATACAGCTCAAATCCTTTGGAGAATCTGAATCTTTATGGCGAGCATGGGCAGCCAGGGGAGAGCTACGCGATCATCGACGACCTTCGAATTGAGCCTGCGAACGAAGTCCGGTGGATTGATACGGATGTTATGGTTACAGATCCAGTTAGCAGAAGGCTTCACCAGCAAGTACTTGAACAGGTGGAATCCGTTATCATGAAGAGAGCGAACCAGCTGTAAACAGAAACAGAAGTGCCGCCCCTGTCGACTTCTAGAGCCGCTGAGTGGGATGGATCAACCGGCCAAACCGCAGAGTC